GTGTGTGTGTGTGTGTGTGTGTGTGTGTGTGTGTGTGTGTGTGTGTGTGTGTGTCCTGCCTCTTGCCCCGAACACGTCTTACCTGAGCAACCTGATTTGGTGGAAACTCTTGGCTGAGTGCGGAACTGAAGATACTTTCTTTCCCACCGCAGGCCTCCATCAGCTCTGGAAGTCCTTCGATGGGTCCGCTGAAGCCCCCCTCGCCCGGCCCCCTTCTGGACGCCAGTTTCCTAAGAAGTGGACGAAAATACGAGATATGTGGAGTATTGAGGCAAATCTGACCAATGAAACAAAGTCAGTTTTGACCCTTTTACCCGTAACAAATAAATAAAACTAATAGAGGTCATTTTCCGTGTCTGTTTTGGCCGGCCTTTTTAGTCTTCGGTGCATGAGAGTATTGGATCACAGTCCCGACAGCAGTGTTTACCTGTTTAGCTGGTTGTTTACCTGAACAGATAGAGATGCTGCTGCTCCACGTGCGGCAGCGTCAGCAGCGAGCAGTCGTGCAGCCAGCGGCCCTGGACGATCATCTGGACCAGGTTGCAGATGCTGATGGCCGTCACCAGCCAGCCCTCGTTAGCAGCCACGTCCAGCATGGCCTTAGAGGAAAGACCACAACAGGCTACTGTCAATTACACTCACTCCAAAAACACTCAAGTGTTCCTTTAAATGTAGCTCACCACCACCAATTTGAATTTAAATACCAATATGATATTTGGAAATATTATTTGTGTCTGTTTCTGCATTTAGCAGACACTTTTATCAACTAACAGGACAATAATCTATCTATAAAATATCCAGTCAGGATCGGTTAGAGGCACCAGAGGTGACAGTGCAGAGATAGAGGGAGGTACAGAAGGGGGCTGGGGGGGGTTAGGGTTAGGGTTAGGGGAGGAGCTGCATCTTCCAGAGTTCCTTAAAGATAGACAGGGCCAGCCCTCGATAGGTCACTCCACCATGGTGGAACGCCTTCTTAACCACTCTTCTAACCACGTCCAAATGCGTTTTACCTCAGACAGTTATGGAAGATTCCAAAAATTTCCAGAGTGTTAGGAATAGTCACCTGTTTGTGATGCTGACCACACAGGATGCACGTCGCTTCAAAAGTCTAGTTTTGCCCCAATCAAAAATCTAATCCTACTTTTCTCCATTTCTTTCTAATTAAGTTCCTTCTTCTCAACTCAACCACCGATCAGTAAGGATTTTCCTTCTATAAAGAAGGTGGTGCCCCCTGTTATCGAGGTTTAGCTAATACAACAGTGTGGACGCTACAAATAAAGGGAGAAAGGAAAAGGGCAAGTAACTCATTTTCTTAATAACTGATATCCTGGAAGTAATGAAGTTGTAGTTTACTCCTGAGGAAAAAAAAACTAAAAAAAAACCCATATTCTGCATATCTATAAAGTAAACCTTGATTATTTTATTTTTTTTTTATTTGGCCCTAATAATGAGAGCCTGATTATTTTTTGGAAGTGACCACACAGAGAGCAGATACAGGATGGCTATGAATTAGGATTTGAAATAAAATGTTTATCAAATACATCCAATAGAAACAATTCTGTAAATGATAATGGGAAGACAGCAGGGAAATAAGCACATCCATGAGCCGTACACTACCCCTGCCAGACAGACACAGCATGGAAAATCACAACCACATGTCCATATCAACTCACAAAAACATCCACTCCAAGCTGTGGACAATGGCTAACAGACGCTCAGACACACTCTCAACATCAAAAAGAAACCAAATACAAACTCTACATGCAGCAGAAGACAGTTTGGGGTGGAATAACCTGCGTGGAAAACCTGATTGATGAACCAAACCAGTTATAACTTGTTAATAACTTGTTCTCTGTTTTCAGTGGAATTTCCTGCTGAGCTGAACAATCTGAGATGTGAGCTTTTCATTTAGAACTCTCATGTAGTCCATAAGCTCTTAACTAACCCACGCCAGTACAGCACTCAGGTAATCCAGCTGTTATTTCATCTCAGAGTGGGTTAACTCCTGATACGTTTCAGAGATAAAATGATCCCCACTGTTCAGTCTGCTCAAACACAACTTTTCATTTTTTCTTCTCAACTAAAAAATCATCTTATTGAATCTTTCTAAGTTAATTAATAGTCTATATTCTGATGTCTATATTTGATGACAAATACTCCCTACGTCCCTAAATCTTAGCATCTGTTCTACGGTGGCTGTGCGGTGGTGAGAGCCTGTTGCTGTGTTCAGCCTGTGAAATCCCTGATTTCTGAACAGCCTCTTCTCTTCTGGGTAGGCTGCTCTGTGCACCTTCTTAAACCCGCCAGCTGTTTAAACGTGTCTGCAGCTGATTGAGATGCTCTGGGCGTAGGAGCAGAATGTAAAGACAACAAAAGCAGGTTCAAACCAGTTCTTTCCATCGCAGCGAACAGACGTGAGATAAATGCCAAATTAGACTTTAAACATAGTTGGGATGTTAGAAAACAGTCCCTTCTGTGCTTAAAACTGAAGGTATTCGACTTCTCTAAAAACATGATGCTCTGCAACCAAACATAACAACGCAATGCCTTCAACCTCTTCCTGCTAAGTTGCAACTTTAAGCAGCCTGCAATTATGTTTCCTTTACGGAGGAATTTAATTCAAGAGATTTGTTCTTTAATACCTACAATTACATGTTTGGGGAGGCTTTCCTGAATACTGCTTAACATGTTTGATGAAAGGACTGAAAGTCCTGATCTGAGCATTAATCAGAGTTACTATATATCACACTCATTTCCCAGATATAATTCACCTGTATAAACCTGCATGACATGCTGCAATAGCGGGTCGTTGACCAATATACTTTAAAAAGAAGAGGTAGGTACTCATGTTTTGCTGTAGCCTTAAAATCCGCATTGGGTCAATTCCAGGCTGAGGTGGATGTTCATTAGAGCAATATTTTTTAACATGACTAGCTAAATGAGGTGTCTCTGCTCTGATACACTGAGCAATGGCAAATTTGGACCAGTTGCTTGAATCCAGGATTCACTGATGAAGCTACACACAAATATCTTTTTTCAAAGTTTCAGCCTAATTCAAATGTATATTCCCTGTCTGGATTTGTCTCGCAGTGCTTCCTGGCCAGTGTTTTAAAGTGGAAAACATATCAGGACCTGGTGGAACAGAGAATCAAAGTGAAAGATGGCAGGATTATCTTGAGCATCCATGTGGCCTTTAATAGCGCCCAATTAAGTGGAACGAGCTTTTCAAGCCTCCTAACAACAAAACGGATAAAAAACGAATCCGGACCGCCTGCAGACGGCGTGCGCCGGTGACTGGGTGCGCGGGGGTGCGCGGGGGCCCACCTGACAGATGCGGATGGCGTTGTCCAGCACGGTCTTGGTGTCGGTGGTGTAGTCGCTGCAGGGCAGCGGGGCGTGGCTGAAGTGGGCCTGCAGCAGCAGGTGGGTCTTGGTGTGGGCGCTGTCGAAGGCGTGGGGGTTGACCTGCAGGGGGAGCTGCTGAGCCAGCTGGCTGTTGAGCTGGTCCTCGTTGTGCCTGACGGGCAGCTCGGCGTACTCCTCCGCGTCCTGGGGGAGAACAAAAAAAAGGGGTGGAAGCGGTTTAAAGTCTCCTGCACAGCTCTGTTTTTCTGCTCCTATCCCGGCCGGGAGGTCAGAATCCAGCCAATCCAGCTTATCTCGGGTCAAAAAGAAAAGAAGAAATGATTGATTTGGTCATTTTTAATTTATACGTCAACCTTCATGCAGTTCATGAAAAAGTGAATCTGTTCTCGCCAATGGCAGCTAATGCAGAACTCCCTTACCTATAGGTCAGGTTATAGCTACTGCAGAAGGCTGGAGTCAGCAGATTTAACTTTTTTTAAATCAATTTTTTATATATTTTTTACAATTGTCTTTATTTCATTGCATGACAGATTTTTTCCCCTTTCTTTTAAACTTTGTTTCGACTTCTGTTCAATGTACAAGTAAAGTGGAACATAGTTTTACATTTCAGAGTTGTTTCTGAAAAGAATAATTTAAGTGAGTAAAGTAAGTTTCGCAGTATCCACCAGCCACCTCCAGCTGAGTGAGAGGAGGTGTTTTATCATTTCTTATCGCAGGTTTTAATGCAGATGGATGCTTCGACTGTTTTCCGCTGTCTTCCCCTACGCCGTGTGTTATGCTTCTGTTGGAAAACTGACGGCAAGGCTGTAAACAGAGAGATGAGGTGAAGAGTGGAGCACAGATTTATCCTGAGGCTGTCAGTCAGCACCCCCACATGCCCCCCCGGGGCGCCGCGATACGAGCAGAGCAGCAGGCGGAGTTCACCACGGCCTCACCGCTAGGATTTGATTGGATCGTTAATTACCAAAGCGCAAGCAGCGTATATGCGAGAGGGATTCTACTGGGTAACAACCCAATCCTCTCATGTTGTCACCATGGCGACGCATCCATCTTTAAAATGTACTTATTCAGAAATCAATCAAATTAGACCAAACATTTCTTATATGTAGAACTCTGGAGGCTTGTTCCTAACTGCATGTATGCAGTCTCTCAGCCATTTATTTAGTTGATTTAAAAAAAAACAGACAAACCCAAATTGCTACTGGATCAGTGAGGTAATAATGACCACTGGACCCATAAAGGTCCATCAGTCTTCTCTCTAAGCGGAGGCTGTGGGCTGATGATTGTTGTTCTGACAAATGCTTGTGCACGCAGGGATGCTTGTGTCTAATTTACTTTGGTTCTACTTTGTCCAATTAACATTTTTCACAGCCCCCCCCCCCCCCCCCTGCCTGGACTGTTCAGGGTCCATCCATCAGGAACCGAAGCCACTGGTACAAAAAGCGGGGACCTGAGGGGGGCCTGAGCAAGTGGGGGTTGGGGTTAGGGGGGGTTAAGGTGGGGGGGCATCATTTCTTACTGATTAACTTTTGTGCCACTGTGTATGTGCAGCTCTTTAAAGCCGTCGTAGCCTTAAACTGTAACAGAGAGACGGACAGTAATAAGTAAGTAAGATGGGAGCTTTGTGCCATAATAACAGAGGGAAACACACAAAAACAAAACCAAAAAAAACACACAAACACAATATAGACAAACAAAAGGGAAAGAAGGCATACAGACAGCTTAAGTAGGGAAGGAAGCTTTATGTCTTTAAAGCTAGTTCATTTGGTTGTCAGCAGTTTTTTTTATTATTATTTTCACCCAGTTACAAAGCGAAAGTTCAGCAGGTTAGCCAGAATTTGGGATTTATGATGGATTCGACATTTTATTTCATATCAGAAGTGCATAGATGTAAATCACTAAAGAAAACCAGAGTATACCTAAGTAGTTAAAAGGTTTATTATTTGAAACAATACTTGCTATTTAATCTAGCCCTGTACTGTTCTTGCAGTTGTGATAAATTGCTCATATTCTAGTTATTGCCTCTGGATGTGATGGATTTGTAAAAACTGAACCACAGCTTCATGTGGTTATTACAGTTTTATTACTGGAGTCCTGATCTGCTTTCCCCTTCCTTACTGTCACCATTATGCCAGCTTGATCTGGAATACTTTTGTAGGGACAGGTTTCACTGTTTCAAGTTTGAGTCTATTGAAAGTTGACTACTTTTCGAATACCTCTCGCTCCCCTTTTAGCAAAAAAAAAAAAAAACTAAACAAAGACGGGCAGAAGTTACAGCTCTGAGAGAAAAGCACGCACTTAATAGGAGGAAGGGAAACAGTGGGTCTGGCTCATTAACAACCACGCTGCAACAATTAGGGGAGAGGCTCTGCAGCTGGAGGGGGGTGAGGGGGGGTGAGGGGGAGTGAGGGGGGGTGAGGGGGCGGTGGGGCGGCTGGCCTATTGCAGCGCAGCATGTTGGGATGGGAGGCAGCCAGGCCCAGCTTCCTCTGGTGTTTAGCCAACTGTAAGCATGTTAAGAAGCCTGATGTTAACATGCTGCCACCATTATTCTACCACAGCCGAGTGAATGGACTCCATAAAACCTACAGATCTGAAAGGATCCTCCTCTTTAGTAGCGACGTGGACCACAGGAAAAACCTAATGAGTTCATCTACTATCTCTGCTTGTTATTTCGGATTTAAAAAATCTCATTTTGTTGTGGTATATGTTCCTCTGTAGCTAATTCCCAGGAGTGAATTAAAGCTTATTGGCGTTTGATCTGACAGTACTACTAACACAGCCTTATTTTTCACTTGGAGCTCAGATTATTTGGAAAAACATTTGTGAGGAGAGGTTTTCCATATAGGTTCTTTAACTATAAACATAACAGCTGTCGTTAAACACACAAATGACTAATATGGTCAAAGTGTGCCTACAGGTGGTAGGTACCCAAGCTTTATTTTAATCACTAATCTTTAACACAAATTATGTTTGACTTTAAACTAACTCAGAAAACAGAGAGTAGACTTACTATATTTCTGGGAAGTTTATCCAATCTCCTTAATTTTCAGTTAAATATTTCTTACAGAACAAAGATCCTTTCTATGATATTTATCTCACTTATGTAAACTTACCAGCATTTCATCCACCAGAATTTTATTTTAAATGACAAAAATGTCAATATTTCTGGACAATGACTTTTGATCAGCGACCTGCAGAGCTTCATGACAAGCTAAGGCTTGGATTGGAATTGGCTACCATAAAGTAGAGAATAGATAAATCTTGCAGGGTCCTAATTGTGTGTTCATGACTTAGACGTGGGTTGAAACTCACCGTGAGGACGGAGAGCAGCTCGTGGATGGGCAGCTCCGCTCTCAGCCGCTCCTTAAACATCCGGATGGTCTGGTGCTTCAGGTAGTAGTAGGAGGAAATGCGGCCGTAGGTCAGCGGCTCGATGGTTCGATCGTCCTGGGACGTTAACAGAAAAGCGAATGAGCAAACAGATGCGTAGTAACTTGAAATATCAAAATGAAATGACTTTAAATCCAGAGACCCAGCCCTCATACCTCCTTTATCTCGATGCAGTAGGAACACTCCAGGTCCCGCAGGCTTCTCTCCACCAGGGTGGACAGATATTTGTTGATGGACTCGTGGCTGATGTCTTCAAGGCTGTAGTAGCTGAACAACAAAGAGCACCTAGCGTGAATACAGCTGTATATATGTATAAAAATGAAAAAACAGTTAACAACCACATTTCTTTATGTATAAAGGTTCACAGTTTTCACATCAGGGTCTGGTGAAAAGCACAGATAGAACACAGTGGGGTTACTATGGTTCTCCTACTTTAATGGTTGAGAGAGGATGAATACTGAGTGGGAAGCCAATCTTCTTATGAAAATGAGTCCCAGTTTATGCCACTGACACAAGGCCAAAATGGTTTCCACGTTCAGCTATCAGAAGTAACAGTTACCACATGAGGATCAGCGGTGGTGTGATAAAAAAACTAAACAAAAAACATCACATTGCGTTCATGAGCTCAAAATAAAACAATTTGGGAAAGCTGAGAAAAGTGGCGCATACGTTGTTTTTTTAGAAAAAAAGTAGGTAACTTGCTGCAAAAAGGCTTGAAAGGCTTGGGATAACGCTGAACAACTGCTCATTATCCATGCTTTCTTACCTGTGGATGTTTACTCTCCACTTAATTAACTACGAGACATTTCACAGAATAGCTAAAAGAGAATAAGCACACATTTATGAGCTGCTCAAGTACAACTAAAAACGTCAAGTTTGTTTTTTAACGTTAGAATTTAATACAAAATAAAAACATACTGTTTTTTTTCATATGTAATTCAATAATATGGGTTTTATGTATATTAGCTCGGACTTTACACTGAGGTTTTGGGATTGGAATTCTGCATGAATAAGATATAAATATCTTATATATATATTATATATATTGTATGAATTGAACGCTAACACAACACTGGTGAAAGGAAAGAAAATAAAGGAAATAAAGATTAATATATTCTTCATTTTAGTAATTGTAGCCATTATTAGAGCAAATGGATAAAAAAACAAAATACAAAAGCATTTCTAACTGACTGGACAAAATCTGAGACCTTGAATTTCCCATGTTGCAATGAAAATGTCTATCCACATCCCTTCATTTAGGATAAGGTGCTTTACTGGTCTCCTACAGCAGGAACTCCAGTGATGTCTTTCCCTGACTGAATAAGAGACCTTCATGGTTTGGATGTTTTTCTAGTTTGTTTGCTACGCAAGTTACAGTTCTTATTCAAATATGCTAATTGGGTGCATTGAAGCCCATCTTGATAGGAGAAACCTGCAAAGATCTCTCTTATGAAACTCCCATACTCAAAAAAGAGATTTGAAACATTTACATACAAAGTACTTTTTGCTTTTGAGGGTTTTGCAGAAATCTTTAGAAACCTAAACAAAGTAGTTTCATATATTTTGTAATAGTTGTTTGTAGTTGTATTCAGTAACTTTTTAACCCAACCTACTTTTCTAAATTCTTAACAAAATATTTCTTGTTTAATCTTTGAAAATTTTTGAAGAAGCTATTTATTAAAAGAAAAGAGTGATCACAGCCTAATTAGAGGCAGGGTGTCAGCTTATAGTGAGTGGGCCACATGTCCTGTGTGTGTTTAATGTTAAGTGTTTCTTTCATTCCCGCTGGTCCACGTGTGAGCGGCGCGGGGCTCCAGCGTGTTTATGGCTGCACACATTTCACAGCTCTTTACCAGCGGCGGGGCCTGTCAGATTAAGTCACGGCCATTAGCATTATCAGCGGCGGGCCGCCGGTGGCACGGGGAAGCCCGCGCGGCCTTAACGGCGCCCTGGGGGCCCCCTCCGCCGCCGCGTTGGGATGCGTGGCGGCGATCAAAGCCCCGAGCACCGCTCGTATATTTTCGGGCGAATTAGAACGCAGCTGCCAGGAAACGGTGGCGTCCGGGGATGTGAGCGTTCAGGGGGGCCAGATTTACGACATCAAACGCCGTAATTCAGGCGCCGTGACGCTTGGTTTCAGCGTGCTGATTGAGCCCAGCTGATCAAAGGCCTGCGACCAGGACAAAAACGCTGGTCACACGGGAGCCAAATGGTTGTGGTCCTGCTGAGTGTCTGAGTCTGACCTTATGTCGGCCGGGAGCGGGATTTAGATTCAACACAGAACGCTACTGTTGCCATTTCCTCTTTTGCCGATTGCAGTTACACTTCTGTTTTCGCTCTTTTGTTTTATCATTCGGCCGACAATAAACGATCCTCAGACCTGTATCAGCAACAGGCACGTGAGCACAAGTAGAGGACTAGAGCGAATGGCCCTCACTGCTGGTATCCCAAAGCTGCCACCACTGATAATCTGCTAAATAACGGTAGATATGGCGACCGGATCCGGTGAAGGATCGGTTATCAGTAATTCTTCGTGAACTCGTGGATGGGCATGTGTGCACAGAAATGTGTGGGGGGAATCAGTTGCTTTAAACACATTTAAACCTTTCCTCACTCTGGAAATGTGCAGTTATGTACAACACGCTGGAGACAGATGTGGGAGATGTTGATTTACAACGGCGTCTGAACTTTCACATCCACACTGAGGAGGTAATGAGTAGAGCATCCAAGGTTTTCCCATTCCACAGGATTAATCCACACTTACTGTGACTGTTTAATTTTGTTATACAATTAGTTTTTTTAATTTTATTTTGGACTCAAACATTTCTGGATTCAAGCTGCCGGCTTATGAGGTTAGTCGTTAGAAGCCACTCAGCTCTACATGCCTAACCACGACTCGGTTTGAGTGGTTTCCTGTTAAAAACGAGGTCCCGACACAACACGCAGAGACAGGCCGACCCATCCGAGACGCCGTTTGTGTGTGACGCCTCTCTGTCTCTCACCCCCAACCGGCCGAGGCAGATGGCCGCCCACCCTGAGCCATGGTTCTGCTCGAGGTTTCTGCCTGTTAAAAGGAAGTTTTTCCTTGCCTGTGTCGCCTAGTGCTTGCTCTTGGTGGGAATTGTTGGGTTTCTGTAATTAACTTCAGAGTTGGGTGTGACCTGCTCTGTTTGGAAAACGCTGTGAGATAACTGTTGTTGTGATGTGGCACTATATAAATAAAATTGAATTGAAAAAAAAAAATTGAACACGAGCAGGAGACAACAATGAAGGACCTGGTGGCGAGGACATACCATCTGAACCTGGGCAGGGTGCCGTGTCAGGCGTGTGACCGTTGATGATCACAGAAATAATCAAAGCAGATGTTAGTTGTATCCAGGGGACAAAGAAGTGGCTCCTTAAATTGATGCTTATTGAGGGTTTGGCAGAAATCTTAACAAAAGTCAGTGTTGACTCAGCCCGCTTGGAACCCCCCAAAAAAAAAGAATGTAAGGAGGTTCCAATCCATGATGGAAAACGAAAGGAATGAGTGGAGACAAACCAAACTCAGTCGGTTTTAGAAGAAAAGCCCCAGTTGTTGGATCAGAGATAGCAAATTCAGTTACCAATCAGAGCGCGGCAGGGGTGTAACTATCTGTTCAGAAGACTAGCTACCCACCTCTGGTCTGCAGAGGGTCCTGCTGGGAGAAAAACTGAAACTATGCACACATTCTGAGTGTGAGCAGCCAAGCTCTCTGGGTACAAACTAAGCGAGGCGTTTGCAGTGATGCATGCACCACAAACAGAGGCGGTTCCCATCCGCTGCTCTAAGGTGAGAGTAATTCCCAGGCTCTGAAACAGCGATCCATGCATCCTGAGGTTTGATAATAACACCGGGATCATCGGACAGGCTCATTTGCTCCAGCAGTGATGCAGTAATGCTGACATCGTAACTTGTCTGTCTCTTAGCTTTATTCCTCACCTTGCACAGGGAGAAAATAAAGATGTAAAAAACAGAGATGGCAGAAATGGATTTCGCCTGCTGGAGACTGAGCTGATCTTTTGGAAACAGGAGCGGATGCACAATGTAAAGAAGGGATGATCTGAGTTGCTGCTTCTTTTTACTTGAAAAATGCTGGTGTGTCTGATCGGAGCGCTTTAAAGTCCCCTTTTTGAGGGGAAAACCCAGGTACATCAATGCTGGGAGGGATTCTGGGCAGATGGGGGTTAAGAATGAGACGCATTTGACTTGAAACATCTAAAGTCAGATGGAATGCCTAAACTACGCCACTCAAAACAGCAAAAATGTAAAAGATAAAAGGTCATATTGAAGTAAAAGTGCATTGTTTTGTGTCCTTAAATAGACTGAAGCCTATCCCAGCTGACAGAATAACATCATATTTAGCATATTCTAAGAATGATTTCTGTAGTTCTTCTGTCCACCTCTATCAATCAAACAATAATTTAGTTTTATTTACTTTTTAAAAGCCCAGTCAACCCTGAAAAAGGGGAACGATTTCACTTTTCCTGGTCCAGCTACTCTACACGGTCCACACCGGCCCAGGGACGAACAGAAATACTGTTAGAAGATTTACATTTAACAGTCTTGAAGGAACATCAAATCCTTGTTCTTGTTTTCTTTTCTTCCCTGGAACAGTCGGACATCAAATGCTGAGCTAAGATCTTGACTCCAGCCCTGTCAGAGCTGGCTTTTCCAGGTTTGGGTCGGTCTAATTTGCAGCGCCTCAGCATCAGTCAGCCTCTGGTTAATGTGGGCTGACAGCCGTGCAAATACCAACAGGCTGGAATGTTCTGGAAAAGTCTTCGTCTACGCAGCAGATGTTTGTCAGAAGGACCTCGGCGGCACTCCTCTAACTGGGCTCAGTTCTGTCCAAAAATGTGTTTGGGAGTGAACGAGCTGGCTTTCCTTTTGATCTGTACCGACTGCAGTTGGTAGCAGAATGGGAGGATTTTTATTCCCGACCTGGGATTCATGACAAGCCGTCTGAAGAAGTACGTCCAGGTGATGTAGTCCATGGCGTCCTGCTTGGATGAGATGGTCCCAGCAGCGATCTCAGCATTTAGATGGTCAGACAGCACCTCGAGGAGACTGTGGACGCACAACACAGACACAATGAGTCCTCTCATTTCAATCATCTATTCGTCCTCTTTCAAACTCTCTCTGCCATGGTGTCTGTTGACTTTGTGCTGTGATCATCTGTAAACCTCTGACAGCCCAGCCTGTGGGAAAGCTTCTTCCCTTTTATTTGTCCTGTCCGTTGCCATCATGCCTTTGTTCAGAAATCCACTGAGAGATTAACTGAGCCTGAAACACTTGCGGTGTTAAATACTAATGTTGGAATACTCCATATTGACTGTTTCTATTCATTTATGCGCTTTTCTTATAGGATCTGCAGGTTCTTTAGAAATAATGCGATAGTTAAATTGTTCAAAAAAGGAGTAAGACCTAGGGGGTTAAAGAAACTTGTGTTACATTTCTGGTAGATGTTCAGAAGAGGTTCAAAAGAGGGGAACCAGCTGATACACTAAGAGGTGGTCAGAAGTTAACTGTATGGAGTGCCTGTTAGCTAAGGAATGAAGAAGTTTCACAAATTACTGACTAGTGTCAGGATAGTGTGTCTGATAGAGGTTTAGAAAAATGAGAAATCCTTCTTATGAAAACAGTGGTAATATTGTTAAAGACAATCAATAAATAATAAAAAGAGAAAATCCTTTATATTCAAGTAGCTGTATTTTGCTTTAAATAAACTATGCTATCAAGTTTTAGCTAATCGTATAGTTCTTTTTCAAGCAACATCCTTTTTCATCACGCTCTCTGTTAAACCATGTCAGTGATGAGCAAACATATTCATTCTGCATCAGTCATGGACTGTATATAGCTCTTCTGTAACATCATTTTCTCTAACACCACTCGGTTTCAGGTCTGTAACACAAAATGCAAACATTGGAACACGTCCAGCTTATTCTCTGCTTCTTACCGATAATAATGACAACTTCTGGAGTGTGAGTGACACTGAAGCATAGCACCGATGTCACGTTAAAATGTTCTTTCTTTGGCCTTGTTTGAGCCTTTTCTGGGCTGATCATTGCAAACTAGCTGAAGGCACTACTGAGACTGCTAAAAAAAAACTACCATCCAGCAAACAAACTTTGCAAGAAAGGATGTCAACACATATCCACAGATTCAGGAACTGCTCTATTCAAAGGAGACACGCTGAACACTGCTCCAGGTCTTTGCTGAAGACCTGAACAATGAGACAACTTGTAACCGCAGGTGTCTTCTACCTGGATTCGACTGGGAACGGTTCATAGAGGAACTTCTTGTAGAAATCCTTCTTGATGTCGTGGACCAGAATCACCGCTTTGCCCTGGTCGTCAAACTGGGGCCGACCTGCTCTCCCCATCATCTGCAGGACATCTACACACACACACACACACGCACACACACACACACAGGGCACACCGTCAGTACGACAGACTGCTTTTTACACAGTTTTCCAGCAGCTTCATGCTAGCAGGATTCACCCTATTTACAGAGTCAGATTAGGAAGCTAAAAATGTGATTTCAAATAATAAAAAAAAGAGAAGAGAAGAAAACAGAGAAGCGTCTAGTGTAAAGGATCATTTACAACTTAATAACACAGATATCTTTGTATTTTCAAACATGCCTGAAAAGGTATTAGGAGGTTGCAAAGTGTAAAGGCTAAACGACTAACTGTAAATTGTACCTGTGATGGGGTAATCCACGTAACGACGAGATTTTCCATCATAATACTCAGTTCCTTTGACAACCACGAGGTGAGCAGGAAAGTTAACCCCCCATGCAAGAGTACTGGTGGCGATCAGAACCTGGTAAACACGCATGAAAGATAAAGAGCCTTGTTACCTACATGGAAGCTGATTTGATGACAAAATGATGATTCAAACTGAGGAAATACGGCTGAAGAGGGAGGTCCTACCTGGATCTTGCAGTTGACAAACAGCTCCTCCACCGTCTTTCTGTCTCTTTCGTGAAGGCCTGCGTGGTGCATGCCGATCCCGAAGGCCAGCGTCAGCTTCAGGTTGGAGTCCCTCACTGTGCCGATGATGTCCTCTATCTGCAGACAGGCCGGAGCAGCCGGTCAGCCAGAGTCACCACAAGCTATCTGAGAGCTGCTGACCGATGAACTGAAGTGATGATGAGGTTGTGGTGGACTCCAAAAAAATTAGACATTCATCTCCAGGGGCACTGAACCCCCCAGCATTGACTGTACTCCATAAATCCATTTATCTGACCAGCAAAAAGAGCAAACAGAAGACAAGCTCTTCCTTTAAAATCAGTCCTATTTAACCAGTCCAAAAACCTACAAAGCAGTTTTATGTTTCTCTCGATGTTTTCTTCTGGAAAAAAAAATACTGCGGAATGAATCTGAACTGATTTTTATTGACAGCAACAATAAAAGTCAGTATTGAGTCATGGGGTATATTTAGTTTCCTCATAATTCTTTTTTATAGTTTTTTTTTTTTTTTTACATTTTGTGTTTGTTTGGGGTTGTATTCATCTGGTAAAAATATAATTCAGTCAGATTTTCTGATCCAACACAACTAACCGACTGACTAACCAACACAAAAAAGTGACAAAGATATTTTATTGAAATTCTTATTAGATTTATCATAATTAAAAAGCCTCGAGGTTAATCAAGCAAACCAAAGGGAACTTTAGACTGAAAGTGAGTTAAATCTCAACTTTCAAATGCTCCAAATAATAATAACTTATTTAATTATATTACAAAAAACTAGAGGAGGGGTAATCATTGGATTATTTTTCGATAAAAAAGGAGAAATGAACAAGCCCGAACAAGTGTGAGGGAGCCCAGGTAGGGGAGAGAAGAAGTCATCAGCTCACAGAGGAGTGTGCAGGCCGTGTGTGACCCCCGGTGAGAGCCGGGCAGCTATTAGCAGAAACCCGTCAGTCACACGGCGGGGAGCTGAGCCGCTACACGGGGAAGCAGCAGGCTGCAGCATATATCAGAGGAACACACACGAGCTGCTCACACTCACACACACACACACACATGCACAAAAAGGGGGAGCAAGGTAACAGTTCCCCTCTCTGGATTTTACACTGAGATCTTAGGACCGAGTTACTAATGCAAATCTGGATATACTTACACACAAAGAAAGGAAAGCTGACACAACTGCCAGTAAATCATGTATGAAGCTGTAAAACAACAGTCCTTTGTGCCACGGGGCCTTAAAAAAGATTTACAGCAGTGGAAAAGAAAAAGCCCCCTTTCCTACTCTAAGGCTAAACAAACAGAGACAGGGTAAAAAAGAAGAAACATTTCCTTTTTCAGATCAGCGCAGTAGAAACCTAAATTCATTAAAACCTCTTCGGCATCAGCAACCGTCTCTGTAAAGGAGTGTGACCGTTTCAAATTTGGGCGTCCTTATTGATGTAGTGAGAAATGTTATTCAGCGCTGGATAGATTCAATCTCCCAGACGGCTCATCCCAGCTGGTGCTCAGGGAAGCCGCCACAAACCCAGGAGCTGCCTCTCAGACTCCACAGGAAAGGTCCACGTTTAGTACAAATACAGGAGACTGAACCGGGTATGCATGTTTGGAGGTATGCATGACAATCCTTCTGGCCAAAGCGGAGTTGTTTGGTCAGAATTCACAGAAAACCAAACAAACCACATCAGCACAAGCAGCTCATGACACCTGTCACATGGACATTCATTCTAATTCTGAATGAATTCGAATGAATGAGATGGCATCTGTGTTTGACAAATGACTGTATTCATGTTAACAAGGGGTGTGAAATACCGAAAAGGCTCCAAATGCAGACAAACATGATAAAGAGGCCTTCACACTCAATTCCCTCACGAGCAGACTTCCAAAACACAAACAAGCGCATATTCAACGTCACACGTTTGAAAGAGAACACATTGGAAAGTCGATCTGATTGTAAACAAATCCCTGTCTGTTGATAGAGTAATGGAGGATAAGGCAGGGCTTTGTGGCCTGAATCGTGCCCAATTCCATCTGTGGGTGTACGTTTACCAGCGCGCGCACAGAAAAACGTAGCATCAGCACAAGTCAGGAGTTACAGGAGGGTGAGGGGGGGGCACTAAGGAAAAACTCCACCCTGGCAAACTCATTCATACATTGTAGCTGACTGATCAGCCGTTAATAATCTGACTAACTGAGCTGAGAGAGAGAAGTGAAAAGACCTGATTTAAGAAGTACGCATTGTAAATGTGGCTCACTCCCTCCATTTTCACCTGAAAAGGCCCTGTCTGATGCAGACTGCTCAGTGTGCCGTACCTCTCTCTCGTCCTGGTGCAGCCACTGTTTGGGATCGTCCTCGGTTGCCAGGTAAGCGATGAGGTCCAGGGCCGTCAGGCGGGTCTGCCTCCTCGACGAGACAAAGATCAGCACCGGCTTGGCAGGTGAATGACTGCGGATTGCTGAAAAGAGCCCAAAATACCGTTCAGAAATAACAACACTAATTGTTTTTTTTATATGAGACTGACTAAACTAATCTATTTCTGTGACTGTTTGATCAAAGCCGAAACCTTTTCTGTCTGCACTACAGAACGGCATTCACCAGACCTGAGCATAGAGTGGTATTTGAAGTTTAAATATACTAATATATAGCAGAGCGAATATGGATTTCTCTGTATGAGCCCAATAATTCATCTGAGCGGGTGCAAGTTGTTAACTTGAAAGAAAACCGTAAAAAATTCAAACCATTCCTATTTTGGGACCTTGTACAGGTAATAAACTGCACATCCGTGAACGATAAAGTTGCCGTGTTAAAAGAAGCTACACATCCTATGCAGGCGCGGGCATGTGAGTGTGGAGCCGAACCTTGGAAGGTGGGCTTGTTCATGCTGGCCATGCGGGGGCAGTAGTGCTGTCCGGGGAAGCCGTGGATGTGCACCTCCAGCGGCACGGGGCGCACGGACGGGCGGAAGTTAAACAGACCCACCTGTTAGATGAAACAGAACAGGGACAATGAGCGGAGACGGGGAGATTTACTGTGAGCAGCTGTCAACGTGGAGCCCCATCTGCGGCGGCGAAAAGCCTCTGTCTGTGAAGGGGGGGGTGGTGGGGGGGGGCTAGGACCGCTGCGATATGCCGCTTTAACGTGTCTGCGTTTTACTATCACCACCTCATTTCACTGTAAAGCCCTGAACACAGATTGAGCGGCTAGCGGCCTAAGCAGCTCCAATTCCGAAGGGAAGCCAACGAGGCAGATTTATAGATGCCAGACATCCAATCTGGCCTGCCGTCGCCGTCTCTCTGTAGCTCTAAAAACAGAGCCAGTCGAGCTAAAGTTAGAGGAAATGCGTGGATTATGTGGCATGAACATGATTAATCCCTACAAACGTTACAGTTGTTACAAGCTGACCTCTAGAACAGGAATTAATTAGCCCTCTGGATAATGGCCAGCCTCCATATAGTGCTCAGTTACAAGATGCTAATGTAAGTGTTTCCATGCAACTTGTGTGTGACGTATACACAATATGTCTCATCAGGTTTGCCAAAATAAAGCAGGTTTAAATGCTTTCCTATCTCTTTACCTCCATTTGACCTAAAAAAGCGAAGGAGTGAAATTAGTTCTGTAGCCTGTTTCCAATCTATTTATAGGTCTCACATCACCCAAATTTGACAACAGTTTCTCCAATAAAGGTTAGCAGTCTAGGGATAAGTTGATAGTCTTGGAAAATCCCCCAATGTGATCTCCATCCACTCTACAATCCACAGTTTTTTTTCTCTTTATTTCATGTAAATATAAATTTGGCTGTGTTACCTAATGTTAAGGTTTTAAGCAACAGGATACTGCTAAATATATTCCACCATCTTTCCTTATCAGTCAATGTGTCAAAAAAGGAAAAGGAAAAAAAAATCACAAAGCTGGACACACCAGTTGCTGAAACCTTTTAAAAGTATTTATCAAATGACACCTGTATTAAACTACAATTTACAGACTGCTTCGTACTGTAGGACAGTGGTGACCAGTCTGCAGCTCCAAAGGCTATGTCTAGAATCAGTACAGGCCTCAGTCATAAATACAGAAGGCTGGGAACATCCAGTCCTCTGTGATATTGCTCCATATAGCTTCACGTTCACAACCAAAGCTGATCACCAGAATCTGAGTGTGGCATCCATACTGAAGCTGCTCTTTATCTTCATTACTGCTATTATACACAGAGAACTTGATATGATGGTACGGACGACAAATAGGCCGTAAAATCACATAGCAGCGCACAGTGTGGTGCTTGGCCGGCTTCCCTAAGGCTGAATATTCCTGAAATAAGGGAGCTTATGAGGGAGATCCCTCCAACTGAGCAGAGAGCACGAGCTTTAGGAGGTAGGCTGGGTTCCAGAGTCAAAATGCTGCACAGATTTGGGGCTTACCTGACCAATGCCCAGCCAGTCGGCCAGATCCCGAGCGTTGGCCAGAGCGGTGGACAGACCCACAACTCGGACGCCCTTAGACGTGTGAGAAGAGATGAAGTTGGTCCTGGACACTATTACCTCCAGCACTGGACCTCTGTCCTCACCTTGAAACACACACAATGGTACAGTCCAATCGTTGGGTATAGGCATGGATATATCTATATATACATATACACTACAGAGTAAAAGTTTGGACTGCTCATGAAGAGAATGCCAAGAGTGAAAAGCAGTAATCAAAACAAAAGGTGGCTACTTTGAAGAACCTAGAATATAAGACATATTTTCAGATGTTTCACACTTTTTTGTGAAGGAGATAATTCCACATGTGTTTATTCATAGTTGTGATGCCTTCAGTGTGAATCTACAATTTTCATAGTCATGGAAATGAAGAAAACTATATATATGTATATGTACATACTAAATAAATATTCCAGTTAGAAACTAAAATGAGGAATTTGACCCATATATCTGCAAAACTCTGTTTTCCCTTATTGTGCCAGAAATGCATTATTTCATATAAAAAATAAACAGTCAGCGATTGGTCAAACTGGAAAATTGACAAGCAACTGTGGATGCAAACCAGAACCTGTCTGTTTGAGAAGAACTCGGCTGGTCACTTACCCAGCAGGTGGATCTCGTCTATGATGAGAATGGCTACTTTCTGAACGTAGCTGCGGTTCTGCCAGCTTCTGCTCACTCCGTCCCACTTCTCTGGGGTGGTGACTATGAGGTCAGCCTGTGCTATGGCTCTCATGTCGGGGGTCACGTCTCCCGTCAGCTCCACCACTCTTCAAACAGAAAAGAAAAGGGAGCATTTTCTGTTGAAACGTCTGCAGTAGACGGGACTTTGTGAGTGTGAGGAGTCCAATTTCTCTTACTTTTTTCCCAGTTTCTCCTCAATTCTGACCTTCCAGTCCTCGATCCTTTCTCTGACCAGGGCCTTCAGAGGGGCTATGTACACCACCTAAACAGACAACAACAGATATATATTAAAAAATGGCTTAAAACAGAAACAAAGCTAGTTTGTGTGGGTCCTTATTGGGTCCTCAGGTTTTTTCCAGCTAACCTGGGCTTTGTGATTGCTTTTTATTAATCAATACCTGAGAAAAATAACAAATCTGGGTTTCCTTTCACAGCAGCTAGCTGGGAAAACTTAAACTTTCATTGTAAATTAAAAAAAAGAAAAGGGATCAAAACTATCACTGTGACTGATAAATCGAGTCATTTAGACGCAACTGAGGAATGACGAAAACTGATGACTGTTTTTTAAAGTACCTTTAAAAAACATTATGTGAACATTATGTGAAATTCTATATATTTATATTTATATATTTTATAATTATATCAGTTACAGTGTTTATGAGGACTTGGTCATATTAAGTACCTTTTTTAAAGGTACTTAATATGACCAGATATGATCTGCCTGAAGACTCTCAGTAAGGATTTGCAGAACTTAAAATGATCAGGATCACATCAGGTCACTTTTCTGACCGTTTCTCACATTCTATGCCTCTCATTGACAAAGCTTAGCTATAGTAAATCGTCTTCATTTTACAGCTACAAAGACAGAGCCACCCGTCTCACCTTAGCAGAAGGATACTCGTTGAAGACCCGAAACATGGCCATCTCTGCTGCTATGGTTTTCCCGGACCCCGTGGGTGCCCCCAGCAGGACATTGGTGTCCGTGTGGTACAGCATGTGGAAGATTTGGGTCTGGATGGGATTGAAATGAGTGAACTTGTACAGGCTCTCGTACTCCCGGTTCCCCAGAGCGGTCACTGGCAGTGGCTGCAGGTCCAGCAGCTCTGAAAGGCAAAGACAGAGCACGCAAAATGAAGGTAGACTTATTCAGTAAAATATGATATCTGGGATGTCCAGTGAGGGTCAAGACTTATATTTGAGGCTTTATGAACCATGATGGATATTCAGTTTTTTTCCAATTTAGCACCATAAACAGTTGAAAATCTTTCTGCTACGGAGAGTCACCTTTAAAACATTTAAATACATATTTTACTGGAAGAAGTACAGTATCTATTAAGTTAAAATAGAGAAATATGATTATAAGGGTGATTTCTTATTTGATTCTGGGTAAAAAGTTCTAAAAAAAGGGAATGCATGGCCAGTTCTACTAAAAACAGTCTAATGTCTTTGTAAATTTTGGTGCCATCAGAGGGTACAAAACGTGTTTAAGGCCCTAAATGTACCCCCAAAAAGATACAAAATCTAAAGACATGATTAATTCTTCGGCTCTATGTCTCCACTTTGGTTGCTCCAAACTCCTGAGACGTCTGCTTCTGGGTCTCAGCTTTTTGTATCCGAGTGCTCTTTGTTATCCAATTAGACTGAAACTGAAACTGTCTGCCAAGTCACACATATCTACGTTACATATCAGTGCACGTGAACATCTGTAAACCAAAAACTGGCTAACGTGCTAACCCCAAAATGACATGAACGGTGCTGGCGGCGCTCTATTTGGACCAATCAGCGCACGGAGTCATTTCTACCATCATCATGGGAAATTATATTAATTACAGTCTTTTCGAGGACTTGACAGGATTGGTGGGGGACCTCTATTGTTTCACATGTCTTTATGTTGGATCGTACTTCCCAATGATTTTCCCTTTATGTGTACAATCGAACAAACTATTTTCTAACGGTCAGAGCCTGCAGATGTTAGTGAAAGTGTGTTCTACCAGCTCATCCCCTCTGAGCTGTAGGCTTTTCCCTGATAGCTGCAGAGACTATTTGTCCATCTTACAAAATATGTGGTTGAAATCAATATCTTGGAATGTTTTTTTGCAACCTGGTAGAGGACACAAGTGGTAAAGGAGATAATAACATGCTTTTGTTCTCTGGTGTGCGTGTGTTTTTTAAAAATCTGCAAAGGCTTACACAGTTTATAGCTGTTACTTTTAGGTAAAGCATCCTTAGGCTTTGTCAGTTTCATATTTTAGCTAAGCTTTCGTTTACTGTAAAGATGTCCTGGTAGTGGGTCGGCAGAGAGTGTTCAATAATTCTGACACCAGAAAAGCCCCATGCCAGTGTATTCTCACATCTCTGTGACATTATCACAGCAGCTATCGGAATGTGCCCATGACAAAAAAGCCTGAGCTCTCTCTTTAGAGGCGACTGACACATCCAACTTTGTCTGAGAAGCGCTTTAATAATATTAGGAAAAAACAAAAAAACAATAAATAGTAGCTGCTGCTGAACCTAAAAGTCCGAAAGGCTCTGGTATACCTGATTGTGATTTGCTTGATTAGCAATTATTCACAACATTAAGAAAAAAAATTCATGATACTGATGACAGTTGCTTTTAAACAGGAAAATAAAAGGCAAAGCTCTGTCTTAGGAGTTATATATGGGTATTTCCACTAGTACCCACTCAGCTAGGCTTGTTTTTTCAATTGATCTTTTTATAATTATTATTGCCATTGGGGGCTGGCACCTCCTAAAAGATACAATTCTGGCACATACTCGCTTTGGGTTCCAAGAGGGCTGAGTCTTTCTGCTATTACCTCAATTGTAATGGAAGCCCACCTAAACTTCCGTGTGGGGCTGAGCAGATGCAATGGAAAAGCCAAATAAGAATTTCTGGCAATATATAAGAATCCTTTCTGGGTTTTTTATGAGAATCTGAAATGAAATCTATTTACTTTTATAGTCCTGTACAGAGCCATGGTTCTGAGAGATTGAGTAAGGTAACTGGACTCCTGGTTGATTCTTGAGCACATTTCACCTGTCATCGAATAGGCCTCCTATCTAAACTTCTTGTTGGGTATCATCAGCTTATAAGCAGCGTCTACCTGTATGTGGGGGGTGTCTCTCTGGTAAGATGAGGCTCTGGAAGTTGATGATGCAGACAGACTCGGCCCCGAGCCAGCGGTCAGACACTGCCTTGATGTAGTACTGGGAGGGCAGGGGCTCGAAGATGGGGATGGTGAAAACGATGTGCTGCGGCTCTCCGCTCACCACCTGAGGAGGGACCAAAGAGCACACCGAAGTGAGAGCTCACTCTGAGGAGCACTGATCTCATGCTGAGAATGCACACATCATCAGGTGCTCTTACCTGTTTCTTCTGCAGGAGGAAGTACTCCGAGTGGTAAATGTGGTCATTGATAGGATCTTCAACCCACAGCCACCAGGGCTCACCCACTGACCCGTGGACCTGAAGAGGAGGGAAGAAAGTATGCTTCAGTCAAAGAGAAATGCATTATCTATTCATTTATTTTGCAGACATGATGTGTGCTACCACAGCTATGCAGGAGATCCGTTTGTGGATGCAGAACAACTTTCTCCAGTTAAACCCAGACAAAACTGATAAAATTGTCTGTGGTCAACAGAAACTAAGAGAAAGTGACATCAGAACCTAAAAATAAGGTTCAAAATCCACGGGTAATGTACTCAGACTTGATCTTTAACAGCCACGTTAAATCAGTAACATCAGCAGCCTTTTACCATCTGAAAAACATTTCAGAGGAACAGAGTCTGAACCAGATCTAAAAAGACTGATCCATGCATTTGTTAGACTACTGGAACAGCTCCTCACTGGGCTCTAAACCAGCTGTGGTCCAGCTGCAGAACATCCAGAATGCTGCTGCTAGAGTTCTGACCACAACCAGGAAATACGACCACATCAGTCCAGTGCTCAGGTCTCTGCTCTGGCTTCCTGTCACTTTTAAACAGCTCTGCTTGTGGACAAGTCCCTTCCTGGTCTAAAGTCCATCTCTGAGTCGTATGAGCCAGCTGGACTCTGAGAACCTCAAGTTCTGGTCTCCTGCTGGTGCCCAGAGGGTTGATTTCAGTTCAATGCTCCTTAAATCTTCCTGAAGAGGTAAGACAGGTCCCAACTCTGAATGTTTAAATCCAGCTGAAAACGGTTCTATTTGTCTGTGAATATGGAAACTGAATGGATTTCTTCTGCACCCTTCACATTTGATCTATTCAGTTAATTTTGTTGATTCATTTTCTTTCTGTTCTTCTGCTTTTAAACTCTTTGCAAAGCACTTTCAATTCTCTTGTACAAAATATGTGCTGTACAAATAAACTTGCCTTGCCGTGCAAATTTTATCAGGAGAAATTTAGATGAAAGAAAAGCTGGAGTCCTCTGATAATGCTGCGGGAAGCATTTAAACTTCGGGTCAGAACTGTATTTTGACCGAACGAGGAAAACCGACCTGACATGTCATGGACGTGGTTAAATATCACAACTTAGACCTCTATATTGCAGACAAAAGGAAAGCTAACGCACCGACCGGCCAACACCACAACACGACCTGTTAAAAACAGCAGCACATCAAAGTCGTCAACAACCGAGTGTTTAATTCAACTCCCATCGAAGTAGGACTCGGTATAAACCTGACTCCGTGTGGTCTGCTTCCTGGGTGCCATCGGGGAGCGGGGCTCATGTGTTGGGACATGTGTCCTGGCTCTGCAGTCAGATCAGAGCTAAGCCAGCCAGTGTCTCATTACAGCTCTCCCATGATTACAGCATGCATCGCTAATCGGACATAAACATTCATCTTCAGATTCGCCCCTGCTACAATGGGCTTCCTGTTCCACTCGGATTCCAGGACAAACTTCGGACTAAGCTTCCCATGATCCCCTCTGGCCCGTCTGCCCACTGAGGTGGGACATGCCGACGGGATCTGGAGGCACTCTGGCTCCCAAGGACAGATGGAGATTTCACGGCCGGAGGAAAAACAAGGAAGGAGGGCGGCTCTGTTTTTCTCCCGTTTGGAAATGTGGCCGTGGCTTTATTGCTGAGTCATGACGCAGTTGGAGCGTGTTTGGAGGCGCTGCTAAGGAGCCAGGAGGAAGAGAGAACTCAATTTAAAGGCTCAACTGTTTTCTGGACTGGTCAGCAGCTGCCGTCAGTCTGGATTCCCAAAATAATCCAGATTTCCGCAGCATACGTGCCCTCGGTGTGTTTGAGATGATGGGCACATCAGAATTTGTGGCCAAACTGTGGAGACGACTTAGCAACCGTAAAACAATGCAGGGACATTTAAATGGATGGTGTTTGGTGGAGTGGTCAGAAAGCATCTTACACTTAGGACAGATTTCAACACATTTTGACCGGAATCGAATTCCTCTGTCCAGTAATGCTAATAGCTTTTAATGAGTTGGAATCATGTGCAGGAGGCTGGTCCATCACTTTGTTACCATGCTAAAGCCTAGTTATCACAATCAATATGGTATATCAGAGACCAAATATGAACATCTTCTGAGGTGACCTATCAAATTCCAAATCTTTATAGGTATTTTTAAAGCTAGAATTGTGCCTGGCTCAGTACTAAAACACTTTGAACAGCCAGGTCATTCCGAAATGAAATACATTCACTTTTCAGTTTGCTATTGGGGCAGATTGTGAATTTTTTAGTATGTGTCTTGCGATATTTTCATTATGATAAAAAATGGAGAAAAACAAACAGAAACAAACAAAAAGAAACAGGTACCTTTCATATCAGGTTTCTTATTCACACTTTCTCACACAGTCTTGACCCATTTCCAACAAAAGGCTGGCAGCCAGTTTCCAAAAAGCTCAGTCCACACACAGTAACTCTCTATTTCATTGACACTGATCCAACTTTTAAATTGAAAAAAAAACAAAAGAACGCCACTGAAAAAGAATTTCAGTCTCTCGACTGATTCTGGACTAAAGCCTTTAATAATAACAGAAAATATCCTTTTTGCTGAAAGAAGAGACTGTAAAACGGCTCAGCTTGTGTGCCGGTCTCTTTATGGTCTATCCCGTTCAGACACTGAGAACCTCAGGTAGCGGTCGCCAGGACCAAAGAAGGTGAGGCCTCATATCAGTTGTATGCTCCTAAAGTCTGGAACAGTCTTCCTAAGGAAGCCCGACTGAATGTTTAAGCTCCGTTTAGGTGTGACGTGACACCTGAAGGTATCTTAGCTGCAATCTTCACTTTATTAAATCAATGATTTAACTTGTTTTACATTTTTTCTTAAATTTAGCTTTTAACTCACTTTTAAATGCCATTTTTCTTTTAAATATTTTATGTAAAGCACTTTAAATTGTGCTATACAAATAAATCTGCCTCTCTCAAACAGCATCCAGATCACTGATCCGACATTACTCCCAGTGATCTAAAACAAACACATCAGGAATCTAAGATCAAAATGAAAGACAAAAATAAAAAAAAAAGCTCTCATTTCTACTTCAAGCTGCGTCCGACACCTGTTGGAACAGTGCGATGGTGTCCAAACGCCTCTACAGGTCTCTTACTTGGTCATTCCAGCGGAAGTCGGGTGTGACGACCAGACGGACGCGCAGCACGGTGCGCGTGATTGGCTGGATGCTCGCCTCCATGCTGATGGAAGGGATCTGATGGACACACTGTTTGACGGATAACCCGATGTTGACATGATGCAGCATGTGACCTGTCAGAGAGAGACCCGGGGTTAAGACAAGTGAAAATAGGTTACAGATTACAGTAAAAAAAAACACAAAAACTGCTTCACTGACGCCATGCTCACTATGAATAAAAAAACAAAACACCGTTTTCATATTTCAGTTGATTAGAGAATGGAGATATAGACTAAGTAAATCTGATAGTACACATAAGCTTGAATAACAACAACTTAACAAAATACAAATGGGCCCTACATGAATGTTAAAGTAAGCCAGAATCGTTGATATCATGGGGCTTGGTCCATGTACTGGGATGTAAAATATAAAGCCTGAGCACACGTGTACAAGTGATATCAAAGTTCTATTACCGATTTCATCCTTCCTCATTTCCTTCAGTTTGTCCACGGTCAGCTTCTTCTCCTCCAAGCGGTTCAGGACCACGTGGCTCAGGCTGGAGAACTGCCGGAGGGGGTGGGCGAAGCCCCACAGCCGCTTGTCGATCACTTTGCAGAGCGTGAGCAGTCGGTAGGTCATGGCAGGCCAGCGCTTCCTCAGCGCTATCTCAAACAGAGCCCTCACAATGCGGGCGGCATTCTGGGGGAAAAAAGACAGAGAAGATGAGAGGGAGCCGGGCTAAATTAGCAGAAACCTAGGAGCTACCATTACTAAAGCTGTGCATGTGGACCGTCTCTCCCCTCGTAGATTTAACACTAATGTCTGTGCTTGAAGTGGGACTACTGGACCATATTGGAAGTGGAACAGAAGTAACTTGCAGCAGCTGCCGGGCGCATCATCCCGTATTCAGGCGATTAATCACACGCGCCATCACGGGGAGGTCTGGTTCGGCTCAGATGTGCCGGCCGGCTCCAGCTGTGAACTGATGGATTATCCGAGTTGGTCCGAGGGAAGGGGGTCAGATGACAGTGTCTCTTACTGATAGACTGCTCAACTGTGGTCAGACGGTGACGGATTCGGTCAGGTGCTCTGCTGGGGGGACGACTGAACTCTGAAGGTTTGCAGCGGATAAAAACACCCACCCTCACGAGTCTGCGCTAATCCCCTTTCACTGCTTTATTCGGAGTTGCTCGCTTTTGAGTAATGACAACAGCGCTGGTGCTGAGTGCCTCCCAGCGTTTCGGGAGGGGGAAATCTCCCACAGGCATCACCTCAGAGCCTGTGCCTCACTCTCCTCCCACTGGATGTGTGATCCACATTAGAGAAACACTGAAACAGCATTTATTCAAGCTATGGTTTTGGTTTATGTCATAAAGTGTACTTTTAAAAGAGGGATGAATGCCCCATCTGAGAACAAATATGGCTGCCTTACAGTAGGCGGGAGCACCTCTACAAGTGTCATTACTCATGACCTAAAAGTTTCAGTTCAGTTATTTGATGCAGGTTTCTTCATTCCATCCTTTCAGGCTTTTTTGCTGCAAGCTGAAATGGCTTTTTTTTTTTATCACGTTACCACACCATGTGGATATCTGAAAAGATATGTTCATTAAGGCTCTTAGAACGTCTTTGGCTTTGTGCCAAAAGCTAAATAACCTGAAAGAGTTCTGTGAACTGGCAGTTGTTTTAATCCTTTACATCAGCTGGCAAGAAGGGCAGGGAAATGTGGTCATGTTGAAGATATTTTAAGGTGAAATGATTAAAATAACTTGAAAAAACACAAAAAATGCCATTTGATTGTGTTGCCAAATGAATACTGTGGTCATTATTCCATTATTATTACATACTAATATTACTAGAGGCATGCATCTCATACTTTGCTTTGGATGAATGGGTCTGCTTATTTTAAAAGACCGGCCACTGGATGTCTGGCCGGTCTTTCTTGGCTGAATATTCTCACTGATAAACTCTGTTATGTGTCACTACGCTTTAAAGCTTATTAAAGATAAAACGTAAAGCTTAATTAATCTTTAACTCAGAAACTCAGAGAGGAAAAACTCAAGAACTATTTCTCCTCGCCATATCCCAAGCTTAAAAAAAAGCAAGACGTCAAGAAAAATAAAGTAAAAACCAAGCTGCTGCATTTCATCCGCTTTGATCTAAACGGTCGAATGGATGGGAGAGGGTGGGAGCGTGTGTCCTGTTGTCCTCACCTGTGCCACGTATGACAGGTCTGAGATGAGGGAGAAGCTTTCCACCTCTCCTCGCCCGATGTAGGTCTGCAGTAGGACGTTGACCTTGCCGTAGCCGTTCTCCACGCCGCCGGCGGCCGGCAGCTGGCAGTAGTTACACAGCATCTGGTCCAGCTCCTCCAGCTCCTCGTCACGCACCTGCCGGCACACACACCTCTATGCAGCAGCGCTTCCAGACGGACGGTGGAGAGCCCGGGCGTGGCGAGGGCTCACCTTGAGCTGATCAAACTCCTCAGCCTTAGACACGATGCTCAGGATGTCCGCCTCTGTCTTCTGAGAGTTGAAGAGCTCGTTGAACGTCTTCACAGAGAGAGGGGAGGAACAAGGAAGTAACTTTAGACTGATGTTTTTTTTTTCTAAAATAGGCTGCGATAACAACCCGATGTGTATGAAATCAATCAAATAAAATGGGGGACACTGATAGCAAGATTCCCCATTAACTCATTGGCTGCCAAAGACGTCTATAGAGGTCTTTTATGTTTTTCAACGCGAGTGGCTTGGGGACGATCAGCTAAAGTTTTTCCGTAAATATCAGATTTCTAGACAGAGTATGTAGTAACAAATTTACCCTCTAGGTAGCTGTGCCACTTTTGATGGGAGATGAGCATAGACTGTAGGCAAATAAGAAAAAGGGAACGGTTCTATGAGAGAACATGTCGCCGGTGAGACGCAAGTTGAGGAAGAACGGAATAAGGTAGAAACAAAAAATTTTTCCTGATGAAAGAAGAGAGTCTACTCTTTCTTTTGGTGTGTTCGGTGTTTACATAGTCATAGCACAAACTATTCTGTGGCTCTTGAAAAATCAGTCAAAATGCTCAAAAAACTGGCAGTATGGGACTCTCTGTTATGAAAATGGCTGGCAGTCAATGAGTTAATGAATAAAGTCCTTAACCACATTCTGACTAGAACTACTTTCCTCCTAGTTTCACAATAAGCTATGGTTTTTCTTCATAAAATGTCATATTGATTGCCTGTTTTGACTTTTTAAGGGCTTTCACAATTTTTTTTTGTGGGTTTCCTGCTCCAGTTTGACACTTCTGGACAGACAGGTAGAGGCTAGGTTGTAAGATTTGACCTGCAGGTGGTCATACAGGTGTCATTCATATCTGGTCTGCCAGAGGTTAGCGCTAAACACAGGAAGTAGGCTCTGAAACTGCTGCGTTCATCCCCACTTCTGCAGTGTCGTACAGTTTCATGTGGTAGTGGGGTGGGCCTGTCCTGCTGGGGCTACCTCTATGGTGTTGTACTTGATGTAAAAGTGGCTGGCGGTCCTGCCCAGGTCCGTGGAGGCAAAGTAGCCGGTGCGCTCCTCAAAGCGGATCATCCTGGCCTTGTCCAGCTTCCTGCCCGCCTCCACCACCAGTTCCGTGCGGTACCGCTCCAAAGCTGGATCCGTCTGGAACAGTCGTGTTTTGCAGACATTCAAGAATATATCACAGATTTCGGGGTGTTTTCCAAGCTGTAACATGCCACAAATGAACTCACTTCCCAGCTTGCAGAGGAGGTTCACATCCCTGTTTGTAACCACATGAACTTTACTAGCAACTCATAATAAAGGCATGCACGCTATTTCTAGTGTGTAGTGTAACCAGGTAATTGCCTCAGTTATAAAGAATCCTGGAGAAATATTTCGGATGATTCTGGAGACGGAATCGTTCTACTGAAGCAGAATGCACTGACCTGGTAGGTGTTGTGGTTGATGCCGTATGCCAGCGGGTTGGCCCTCATGCGGACATAGCCGTAGGTGTAACTCAGCCACTTCACAGCCTCCTCCACGTTGGTGACTGTTCCCAGAGCAATCTGAGGGACAAAACAGAGGACGCACAGAAAAAATAAACCTTTAACTCCCACCACTGGTTGCTGCCACCATCTAGTGGACGTTTGCTCAAAGTGCAGTCGTAAATCTGTCCCCCCCAGCTTCTACTGAACTATGCAGGCTCATCTCCAATGGCCAGTTCATTACATGATACTTTAAAAAACCTGAAAGTAAGCCGTCTCAGCAAATATGTATCATTTTGGAAACTAATTCCAAGCTACACTAATCATTCAATCAATCAACAATCAACATAGATATATACGAAGAAAAAGGAAAACAAGGAAAAACATTGTTTTCTACTGAGGAAGCCTGGTCCTGTTCTCTTTGCACTGGCTCCCTGATAACTTTAGAACTGAATTTAAAATCTTAATGTTTGTTTTTTAAATGTGTTAAATTGGCTAATTGTTTAGTCCCACCATACTTAGCTCTTCTTCTTTTAATAGATGTCCCAGGAGCCAGGTTAAAACTCTGGGTGACAGGGCCTTTTCAGTGCCAGCACCCCGTATTTGGAAAAACTTCCCTTCAGATCTTCATTAAACTTCAGACCAGAGAATCTTTAAGTCTAAGCCATAGACTCATCTTTTTAGACAGGTTTGTAATGACATGTAGTGGAATGGCATTTTCCTTATTTTTCTTATCTTATGTTATTCTTGTGTATTTCTTTTGTGATTTAAATTTCTATTGCACTTTTTTTAATGCAACTTTTACTGTAAATTGCTTCGGTCACCTTAGATGGTTGTTGTTGAGCGCCATAATAAAATCAAACAATCAAGCGATCAATCAATATTATAAATCTGTCATAGCACCACTGTTCTGTCACTTGATGTTGATTAAATAAACAAAGCAAATCACTAGATGATCTGGTCTCTAACCCATTTTTGTGACATAAATTGGAACATGTTTTCCTCCACATTTTCTGGTGAGAGGTGCTGTGGCTCCTTAGGATTTGGATTAAGATCAGCTGCTCAGAAGGCGTAATTAGATGGATAAATAACCGTGGTGATGTCTTCATCTGTAGCCCCAGCACTAGGTAGTACGTCACAAAACGTGATCACATTTGAGTCTTTTCAGATTCTGCTTACATCCCATCAACCTGAATTAATAAACATCAAAACGCAAAATATGCAGGTCTGAAACAAGAATCAGTACAACAGATACTGAACCCTGTAATACTCTGGACATTTGGTTCCGTTTACAGGTGTTGTATCAAACAAAATCCTCCTTTATTTTGCTCCCAGCAGCAACTTAAAGAGCAATGAAACAGAATGAGACTGGCTCCAGTTAGAGCAACTTTTCAGAAACATTTTCCACCCTAACAGTGGAATATTTTGATTATAAAAACAGGACTGAGGAACAACGGAAACTGGGAGGGAAGAACAGGCATAAGAACCTCTGCGTTGAGGTTGTCGGCCAGGCTGCCCAGGAACTGGCTCTCGATGGGGTTCTGCTGGGTGAGCAGGGTGAGGTAGTGGCTCAGCTTCTCGTGGGTGGTGATGATGGTGCCCTCGCCGTACTTGTCAAACTGCGGCCGGCCGGCGCGGCCGAAGATCTGCATCACGTCCAGGATGCCGAGATCCACAAAGGTGCCGCGTTTGGCGTCGTAGATCTGAGTTCCCTGATAAAAACACACAGCCAAGCGCTTAGGTCATTTACAATAGACATGATGCTGAAAAAGACTACAGGGCCAAATTACTTTCACTTTAGTTAAATTTCATTAAAAAGCGACAATCACAACATAGTCGTAACTGAGTGAATCACACAAACCCATTAGCAGCTGCTACTTGGGCCTTTATCTATTTCAGATTGTATGTGTGCTGTCTGATCCTGAAGGAAAACAGGAAATAATTCCAGCGATTTTTTCCAAACTGTTCCAAAGAGCAAATCCCAAAGTAAGCCGGCATTTTTTAAATATATTTTTGCAGTTTATGTGCTATGATGTATCAGATGTGCTTGCTTTGTCCCTGCTCTGATGTTTTCTTACAGCTTATCCGCTCTCTCCTTTGTTCATAGATCAGCACTATTGCAGAAAGTCACCCTCTAGTCCACAGGGTGACTTTATACAAACCAAACTTTCTGAAACCAAAGTCTGAGGAACCAAACAAACACTGAGGTTCTCTAACCCCCAAAAAATCTAAGACAGAAGGGAAATACTCTGTAATTCAGTGATTAATGCTGGATTGTAAGCTGGTGTCGGCATCTGGGAGTCATCAGCACATCACATTATCAATGTTGCTTAAAAAATACTTAGTGTTAACGTTAGTAAGACGTTTAAATCAAAATGGCTGCAACGGCATAGCTCCCATTTTGACACACATCTACGAGCTGCAGGCCGTTTAGTGGCACATAGCAGTCGGCAGGGAATTATTTGAAATATTGTTTGTGATTACGGACGTAGACAATCGTGAAAAAAGCATAACTGGCATAAAATGATGATGGTGCGGCATTCCAATTCCTCTCCTGGTTTGATAAGTGGGGCATAGCCTCCTCACAGCAGCTCACTCCTACTGTTCAGGTGTTTTGTTAAGGTGGAGCAGGAAGTTTGTCTATAGACTGTTCAGAGGGGGAAAAAAATTGCCCTTCACATAATTAAACCTGTAGTTCCCTACGTCTGAGCAGGTCTAAAAGAAGCATCAATGCTCTTGTGCGTGCACCTCAGATCTCCACAGGCTTTATTTACAAAAACAAAACTCTATAGCTTTGTTTTTACATCTCCTGATCAACAACTTACTTCACCTTCAGATTTAGAATCACTGGTTAATTGCAGTAAACATAATCAAGACTGATGTTATTGGGCGTCTTTTGTTAATGAATGAATCCATTAGTACATGAACTGATACTTCAATAAACTAGAGAATAATTGCCTGAATGATTGAAAAACATTGTTTGCTTCATTTTGACTTAAACTTTATTAAAACTGCAGAAAATGGGTATTTTACAAGTCCCAAATCACAAAACTAACATTTGTATTCGATTGGGTAACTTACAAAACCACTTAAAACCTTTAACTAGAGAGGTAATATTTAGTTTTATTGGCAGTTTCCTGCAAAACAAAAAGCCCCGTAGAACCAAACAGTAATGAATGTCTTTGGGATCCCTGAAAGTTTGAAACCTTTTTATGCCCAAATATTTCTCACAATTTATATACATCAGAAGAAAGACTGCAGACAATCTGAATCAGAGGGGGATCGATCTCAAATACCTTGATTATAACTGCATGGGCCGGTAGGTTGACCCCCCAGGCCAGGGTGGCGGTGCAGATCAGCACTTTGAGGTGGCCTTTGGAGAACATGCTCTCCATCATGCTGCGGTCGGAGCGGAGCATGCCCGCGTGGTGGATCCCAAAGCCCTCGGGGAACATCTCCTTCATCTGCTTGTTTCTTGAGCGTTGGATCTGAAACAGACCGCCAGAGAACAAAAAATTAACAAATTTGCTATGGGACGTAACTGAGACGGAAGTCAGTTTATATCAAAAGCTGTGGAAAATAAGAAGAAAAAGCAAAAATAGAAAGGCTTAGAGAGACTGATGTCTGATTTTATTTTCTTATGAAAACAAGCTAAATACAAATTACGTGCGCAATAAATTGATATTGACATTGAAAGTAAATCTAACAGCAGTTGAGAGGTTGTAGCTAAGTCTGAATCAGATATAGCCACAACAAAAATGTCACGGCACGTTAAACCATATCAAGAAAATGTAGCGTTAAAGTCCTATAAAGGCTGTAGGAAATTGAACAGATGTAGACATGCGGGCCATTTCAACAGCATCTGCTGCTAAAAAAAAACACACGCACACAAACACACCCACACTCACAGACACACACACACCCACACACAGAACCAGCTGGGTGGATTGAGATGTGTGTGCTTTGACTGACAGCAGGCCTGTGACCTGGTCGGGCTTGAGGGGAGTCCTCATCACAGGGCTTTATCTCTCTCTCTGGGCATCTAAATGGAGGTCAGGGCCCAGCAGTCCTCTGCACCACAAACAGACAGCCCATTACTGCCAGCAGCTGTCCGCCTGACACGCTCGGAGCCAATGTTTGGATGGCCATCAATGTCTGCATTTGTATGCAAACTATGTGGGCAAAGAGTGGGAGGCCTGAGACCGAGTACCCCACCGGGCAACACGCAGATTCCTGCCTCTGTCCATGACATGAGAAATGTCAAAGGAATGCTCCTCCTTAAACCTGGACACTGAAACTCTGTTTGACCGAATAACTTAGTTATATTCTGTTTAACTGGACAAAATGATGGTAACTATTCATTTGCATGTTGAATTTTGTTCCTTCTTTTGGGCATTAGTTCATTTTAGTGCAGAGGTGGTCTTTTTTTGACAGATTTGAGGGTCGGGAAACTTTCAAAGGTAAAGGTTGAATGTCCTTTTCAATCTTTTTCAAACCCTTCATTCAGTTCTGCATTAACCATACGCAGGAGCATGGATCGTTTTCTAATTCCACACAGAAACATCCTCAGATTCAACTACAGCTCAAAGCCCAAATGAACAGCCTTGGATTCCATGCATGAGGCACTTCTGGAAACGTTCAGTGCTCATGACTATCACACCAGCCAGTCAGATGTTTTTTTATTTTACATTATTCTTAACCCTGTAATGCCAAACTCATCATATTTGATACATTCGGTTTCTGAAATGTTTTGCGTCTGACACCTTTTGCATAATTTAATGGTGAAAACGTTGCTCAAAATCCTATTGTACACAATCAGATACACCTGATAACAGAGGGCAGAAGACTACACAAACAATAATCTTGAGTTATCGCATAGTAATAAATTATTAATACTAAAAATGTTTTTCTGTTTTTTCTTTTGACATATTTTGTTAAAAGGCCAAATAAGGAATTCAAACCAAAAAAAAGTAATTTTATGTTTTGTTTTATTCTTGGATCAGGCTTTAAAGGGTTAAACTTTCTTCTATTCAGTCTTGCATTTCAGGGCCAGCAGTGTGACTGATCTGTGTGGTTCTCTCATGGATTCAGGTAAAGGTTTATTAAATGTGGCCTAATAAAAAAAAATAAAAAAATCAGACATTTTCTTCAATAAGTAAAGCCTTAGATAATCCCTGTAAACCAAATCCCTCATGAGGAATGTGGCAGTGTAAACTATTCTTATAGCTCCAACTCTTTCCCTGTCAGGTCTATGTGCTGTGCAGGCATTTATTAGGGCAAGAATCCATCCAAAATGATGCAACACAACAAAAACGATTCTCCGAGAAGAATTCCTGCTCGGCTGTCGGAGGACATATGTCTGAGAGAGGGGGCAAAGTCAGGCCTGGTGGAATTCCTAAGGGCCAGGACGAGCGCGCTGCTGTTGAGACGCGCGTGTGTGTGTGTGTGTGTGTGTGTGTGTGTGGGGCACGCCGGGTAATTGAAATGCTTCGACCGAGGCTTTGCTTTGAGGTGTCAAAACGGGTTACCGCCGTGCTTCCAGCCCCTAATCTAAGGTGAGTTAGCGCTGATGTCTCCGCTGCCATGACTGGATTTGAGATGGCAGCGACCTAAGCTCCTGATCAGGTCCCATTAGGGGCTGCCGCGGACCCGGCCCGGTCCGGAGACAGCCAGCTGCCAGCTCCACTCAGCCTCCATCAGGCCCGCGACTCTGTGGAGAGCATCAGCTCACACCGGGGCTGCGCTGCTTTATTTTCCCAACTTTAAACCGCGTCAAAGATCACAAAGCACACCTGGTCGGAGCCAGCTTTTATTTATTTTTTACTGTTTTTATCATTTAGCTGATGCGGAACGGCGTGCAAACAGCGTTTTTAGGAACGGAAAAAAATTTGCCAAATGATTTGTGTACTCCGCATCAACACTGAGTCTCATTAGTAGCGTGGCTATTCATTAAATTGTTAGGCTAAGCTACAGTGGCTGGTTGCAGATCTCATTTAGTGGCCCTTGATAGTGCTAATGGTTACTGCTCCAGTGGCTGGCTGTAAACGTTGGATAGGCAGGAGAGGGGGAGGATGAACTCCCACTCATACTTACTCCACTTTCCATTATGAATGCCCTCTTTCTCTAAACATGCTTTGCTATTTTCACTCTGCTACATTTGTTAAACATGCCGAAAACGATGTCCCAAGTACAAAACTCTGCATGATCCGTTTTTTTAACATTGAACTGGGTATTTCCCACAGACCGGAGATATCCTTTGGTTGATCTGAATCACATAAACTGCCATGTTTTACATATCTTATAGGAGGGAAACAATTTAGTTTGCAGTTTCAATTTCAGTTTTGAATATTTGAATCTAGAATTAAGCGGGAGACAAAACAACAGAAGAATGTTAAAAAGGCAGCAGGTTGACAGACCTAAATGAAATGAAGCCAAACAAGCTTGTTATCAGCTTGTTAGAAAAAGAGAAAAAATGTTATTAGCAGTTTTGTTTGGGCACCTAGACTGCCAGACGACTCAGAGGACATTTAAACAGCGTCAATGCAAACAAGTCCGCATGGAAAGGGAAAATCCTATCTCAGGGTACCAAAGCTGAGATAGAACACGAGGGATTGTGCCGATGTGCTGTTTGTCCTTCTGGGTAAACCAGAAAGTGGAGGGTACAGTACCAGTCCTTTGTTCTGGAACATAGTGGGAGGCACACTCTGCTGTTTTATGCTGATGAGGAAAATGGTGGCGCTACGCAGAAAAACAGTAACATGCAAGACTGCTCCCTGAGGGAATGAGACTGCAGATGGGCTGTAATGCCGGAACAGTCTGACGGGACAGAGAAGCACTTCACACTTCACACAGTTTGCCTCCCACTCTCCCGTCATTTTACAAGCCCCAGGTTCTATTTAAGACAGCTGGTTCCTGGGCGTGCGTTTGTCACTCCCGTTCTCGCCGGCCTTTGAGGTGCAGCTCGCTGCTGCTCGTCAGGCCACTCAGGAGTGGGCTTTGGCGAGATGACAGACTGTCACAGATCAGAAACAATGAAAGAGCAGGCGGCGGACCAAGTCTGCAAAAATAGCATGGGCTAAAAAGAAAGCAGAGACATTAATGAGTCCTGTCTGCTGCTGGGTCCCTGGAGGCTCCGCACTGAGAGGCATCAGACTCTGCTTCGGTGTGTCTCGTCAAAATAAAATCACATGAAAGCTGCACACTAAACAGCCAAAAAGATTCAATGTTTCAAGAGGATGATGGCCTCACTTATTTTAGCACATCTGGACTAAGTCCACAGCACTTTGACGTCATCGTCCTTCAAATCCAGCCATTTCTGAACATATCAAATTAACATAAAGTCAATCATAAAGCCTCTGAGAAGGTGTAAGGGTAAAACTTTACAGCATTATGTGAACCTGGCCACATTCAGAAAACTATTCTGTAGTGGACATGTATGACCACAAGGTGTCTCTTATCCTCCACAGAAAAACTCGCTGTTCTTCCGGGACCGGCCACATATATTCATGTTGGAGAAATAGACGCTTAAAATGAAATCAAAAAGAAAAAGAAAAAAAAAGAAAACAGAGGATGTGGGGTTAAGAGGAGCATAAGGAAGGAGAAGACAGGGGGGAGAAAAGATCAAATGAAAGTCAAGTAGGCCTGGGAGAGGTTTCCAGAGAGCAGGTTACAGAACGTCTCTCATTTTGCTGTGATTACGGACACGCGGAGCCTTCAATCAATATTCCCACCATTTATCTCCAGTTCTCTATTGGAACTTCCTAGCCAAAGTAAAGGACAAAAGAAAAACAAACACACAATTCCTCACTGATGCCAATACATCTTTAACGCTACCAAAAAACTGAACAACAGAGCCATATTTACCGGGCAAAACTCCAGTTAAACCAGTCAGTTTTAACCACACGCCTCAAAAAACAAACAATCTGTCTACTTTCTATGCTTTTTGCAGTCAACAAACCACCGAGCCCCAACGTCTCCCAGCAAATAAAGCCAGCGTTTCCAGAAACCTGCTGTCACTTTCTATCTGCAAAATGAACAAACACAGACTGAATATGTGCTCTTTAGAGCTTTGCTCAGTATCTACTTATGGGAAGCAACATCTTGGAAATGACAAACAATGGAGTGTGGAAGGAAGGGTTAAAGCCTCCGACTGCCACAGGGGCACAGTGGGGGCGCCGGGCGCCGCGTGCTAGCTTTTTATGGCATTTATTCTGCAGGCTCTTCACAGGGAGGCACTGATGGAGCAAAAACTGAGGAACATTACATCCTGCCTTTGGCCACCAGTTAGGGAGCCAATGTTCCCTGGAGAAAATGCCCCTCTACAACCACACACATGCACATTAGCAAAGCATAACCAGCGAGAAGATGGTGGCGCTGAGAGCTGCACGCAGATCTCCGGCGCTGACGCCACGGCCGATAAAGAGGGCGAAGATTCGAGGGGGCTGCTGGGAAAAGTCTGCTGTAATCGGATGTTGGTGTGTTTCAGACA